GTTGCAATATTGCAACTCCCAGATTATGAGAATCTCCTGTGAAACTCGATATCCTTGCGCACTGCATTACGTTACTGGGGTGAGATCAAAACGCTTCTCAGAGACACCCAACTTCCAAAAGTCACGTGGCAAACAGTTTTATCATAAAATCAGCTTCCCACTCTTCCATTCCACATATCTTTAATCGGTTTTTGAATAGACATAGCAGTTACTTTTAGAGATCTATATTTATATTTGGACTGCAGGGCTTGACGTTAAGGATTGTATAACCACAGAACTATTGATTAAAATATGCTGATATTAATGGTTAATAACAATAAAAAATTAAAAAAGGTGTCATTTTCCAAAACAGCTAGTGTAGTATGTTCATCTGGAGTCCCTCGGTCTGTTTGGTGATTTTGGAGTGTCTGCACTGTATAATCACAGAGCTATTGATCAAAATATGATGATATTAATGGTTAATAACAATAAAAAATTCTAAAAAATAAATAAAGGTGTATTTTTCCAAACTAGCTGTGTAGTGCGATCACTAAGAGCCCCAGGGGCGTGCATACATAGACACTAGGTGGTGCTAAAGCACTAGGAAGTTTGCCCTTTATCAGCGAAAATGCCCTTTTGAAACTCGTTTTTTTTAATTTTTTATTATTAATATTAGTAAGATTTTACTGAGGTCGGTTTTGAAATGATCTTTTGAAAACCTGAGCCATTAAAAACGACTGAAACAATGCCCCGAAATGAGCCACCTCCTTGCTCACATCCGACCAGCCTCTCTCTCTTCCTTTGTCACGTGAACTCGCTCGGTCGCCCGCAGGGCAGGCCAGATGCGCAGCATCATAGCAGTTTTCAGATAGCAGGAACGGTCGCTGACAGGCTGCTTCTCCCGTGCCCCATTAGCCAGGTAATATACAGATCAAGCAAAATAATTTTGTTGTGCATTAAAATGTCCCATTCAGCAGCACCAAACACGCATTTTTGCCGACTGGTCACCTAATAAACCAGTTAGGCTAGATAAAGTTTTACACTGTAGCCCAAGTCAATGACAGATAACGTGAGGACGACCACATAGGCTANAAAATAAATTATAATCAGTGAATAATTAACTTCCCATAACGTTGGAAATAATCGAGGGGATCTGAGGGTGATCCAATCACGTTTTATGAAATATATTTATTGTTTATATTCTAAACAGATTAAAGAAATGTTCAGTAAATAAACACTTTCTATGGATATCTTTATTAAACGGCTTCCTTCCATAAAGGCCAGATGTGTGCAGTGTGTGACTGATTGTCGTCCCATGGTCAGAGTCTCCATCCTCAGCTGTAGATCTCTGCTGTTCATCCTGAGGGATCATGGGCCTCTGGGCTGCATCTCTGATCAGTCGTCTCCTTGTTTGAGCTGAAAGGTTAGATGGACGGCGGGTCTTTGTAGATTCTCAGTGGTCTGATTCTCCTTTGTTTATAATATTATTAAACAGGGAAGGCACCTGCCTGGTATCTTCCTT